ATATTTTAACACTTAACATTTATCAGTATATATGATAAATATATATTTTAGTTATTTTAGTATGTATAGACAAGGCATGCAATGAACTAGTTTGTCGTGGATTGGATCAGCACCTGAAGATGGCACATTTGTGCCGAAACATGTAGTGAGAGTGAGAAGAGGGGATAGATGAATGTATGCACTAGAAGACGGATAAAATAAATCATGGACTTAAATCAGTGCAACAGGACGCTAAAATATAACAATATCAGGGACTTTTTTAAGTGCAGTGTCTGACCTTCAAGTGAAAACTGCCCTTTTGCTAAATGTGCTTGAAGTGCTGCTGATGTTTGTAGGGATGTTGACATAGTTGGAACCAGAACTCTCTCTTGATCGTGTTTTATAATGGTACTTTACTAATTGGTAAAGTATCAATTGTATTCAAATGAATGTGTGTGCGCACTGGGGTAGAAATACCCAACAGTTTTTCATATGAAACAGCTGTTGAACAAAAGGTGCATTGTATTAGAGTTATGTAAATATATTCACAGTTCAATGGGGAATTGCCTTTAATCACTGGCATGAGAAAATTATATTTTGCCATTGACCTCCATCACCACTCTGCACCCTTGACACCCAGTGTGGTTTCCGATCACAGGTGTATTGCATTTTGTTGCAATACTCTGTTATTATGGGCATCAAAATGGTATGCAGAATGATCAGTGATGGATTTCAGACCAACTGGACATCCTTGTTTTCTGTGTACATCTGAAAATGTGAACACGGAGAGGAATGACATTTTGTGAAGTCTATATCAGTCAGCTTCCTGGTATGCCTTGGTCATTGGCATAAACATGTGGGATGTTTGCTAAATATTATTTTATGATCTGCATTATCACCCATTCAGAATTCAGATTGTATGTGAGTAAAAACAAAGTTAACAGGATAAAGCATGTTGTGTACAAGCTTGCAGTTAGTTCTTGGACTTCTTGCAAAACAGTTGAGTATAGTGAATGCACTCCATCTTTGAGGTTGTACGATTAAACGAAATTTGTGATAGTGGGCTCCATACAACCTTTTGAGCTTCATCAACCTCCATAGCTTGAAAGTGACAGTGAGGTGCATGATATCTTATGGCATTATTGGTTCTTACTTCTTTGAGGATGATGCAGAATGTGCTGTGACTGACGCACTGAACACTATAAAATTATGCTGGAAAATTTCCTGGCTAATGAGCTGCATCATCTTGAGCTACCTCTACAGGTTCAGCAAGAGGGGCCAATGCTCATGCTACACAAATAAGAATGGCTGATCTATGCTGATGTTTCCATAGTGACTCGTTGCTCGCTACAGAGACGTTGACTGGCCTCCTTGCTCACCTGACCTTTTGACAGCAGATGTTTCCTGTGGGACCACCTGAAGGCTAAGGAGTGCGGAACATGGCCATTATCCCTGACTTGAACCATCATATTCAGGAGCATACTGAAGCCATCCCAAATGACTTGCTGCAACTGTTAATGACCTCTCTGCCATTTCCAATCCAAGAGTGCAGAGATAGTGATGTAGGTCACCTGAAAAATGCCATTTTCATATGCTGATGATCAGAGTAAATTTTCTGTTGAATTGTGAATTACCTGTACAACTCTTTAATAATTTTCACCATTCTCTTCTTTAGTTTTTTCATTTAAAAACCATTAGGCATTGCTGCCCATCCCATATATTCTTTTCACTGCACAATCAACTATTATGTAGTGTATTGAATTTATTACTATGTAAATGATACCACTGCATTCTTTTCTTTATGTTTGCTGTTTCCTTTGAGTCATGCTTGCTTTATACGAGTAATTGGCCCCTAGGTTATTGAGTAAGCACATAAATAATTAAATTATGATTATTTTTCAGGTTTTATGCCATATTATTTTAAGGATGTAGCATTTGTAAAGGATCCCAAACTTTTTGATCCAGATCACCCCATCCGGCCACACAGGTTTTAATTCTGGTGAGACACTTTCTTTTTGAGCCAAGAGGTACTTGAGATCTGAAGTTACTTCATCTGGCTGAAGAACTTAGTTTGTGTACTATATAACAGTAATGTTATTGAATTGTATACAAATGTCTTTTCTATTCATATAAATTATTGTTGAGTTGTTTCTAATTAAAGCTCCTTATCTTCATTACATCCATTCTCCCAATCCTCACTCTATAAGACCAAATGTTATCACAGAGTTGGCAGCGCTTTTGCTTTATATTCGGATGGTCCAGATTCATATCTCAGCCCTGACACTGACTTCCCTGCCATTTGCTGTGGTTTTTCACAATCTAAGGGAAATGCTGGAACAGTACCTCATACTAGGCATAACCACGTCCTTTCCAAGTTATTGCAGTAATCTGCTAGTTATCCACATATCTGAGATTCTTATTAAACTAGCAGAAATTTAAAAGAAAATTTACAATTTTTGTAAAAGTATTGAACACAGATTTTCTGTGTACATACATTCACCTGCCATGTGGTAGTTCTCCCATCTGCCACTACCAGCATCACTCATCTTCCTCACATAGCTTCCACTGCAGGAAAGGGAAGTTGATTTGTGATTGCTTACAGTATATGTATCCAAAATCCTACACCCATCAGTCCCTTGTGTCACCTAGGAAGGCTCCCACACGAGAACAAAAGCAGAAAATGACATTTTGTGCATGCATGTGCCCTTGTATGTGAAGGTTCAGGCCTGAAATTCATATGGAAGGAGCTTAAAAGCATAATGAAAAGATACGACCTCCTGGAAGGCTGAAGTTGATAGAGGATAATACTGGTATTTATCTTAGAAAAAGTGGGTATGAAAACATTAACAAGACCATATTGGCACAGGACAGAGTCCAGTGGTGTGGTTTTGACATCATTATTAACCTTGATTTTGTTCACATTCTGCATACCTGACATTGACATTTGTCGGTACTAATTTACCACATAAACAATGGGGTTGTGGGAGAAGGATAGAGACCCTTATTATCATACCATTTTCATCCATGTATTATATCCCATCTAATTATGAACCACTTGATGGATGTAGCCACCTGCTCTCGCTGGTTTCTTGCTTGGATAATTTTTGACCCTGTAGATAGATGTGATATGTTCCTCCAAAACATCAGTTCATATATGGACTACATGGCGCTATATCCCAGAAGATGGCAGTTTTCACTTTATGGATATTTATGGATCTTTGTACAGACATCAAGCCTGTAGAGACCACTTTATGTGTTCTACTTCTTGTGACTAGGCTATGGGTCGGAGGACTGAGGAACTCAGGTTCAATTCCCTGCAAGGTAAAGAAGCTTATCTCTTTTCCAGACTGGCTCTCAGACCCATCCAGCCTATCATATAGGTAGGTACCAGGGCACAAACATGATAACTCACCATCTAATGATCAGGTTAAGGATGTTTGTTTCTAAGGTGTGTTGTGAAATTAAGCATATGAGCAATTTCACCATTCTTAGCCTTATAGATCTTTGAGAAATATATGTCTGCTAATGTGATTTATTTTGTAGAATATAAAAGAGTAGTGTGACAGTTGCAGATAATCTAAATCCAGTTTCTGGTTTGATGGAATCATTATAACAATCCCTACACCTAGTTAATGAAATTGTTTCTAACACCCAACTGAATACAGTTCTGTTTGGAATACTAGACAATGAACAATATCCAGAAATTCCATACTAAGTGTAATATACACTGTTAGCACTTTATCCATCATCCAAGTTTTGGGTATGATTAGGAGACCAGGGTGACTGTTGAATATAGAAATTCAGAAATGTATGCATAGTATTTAATATGAATAATTATATAATATAACTAGAATTCTTACTGAAAATGTGCAGTGACAATAAAGTGTGTTAAATTTTTCTCTACCACTTTCATTCAAAATATGTTCCAGTTAATATTTAGTAAGTAATGTTTGAGGTAAGGACATACACATATTGGTCTTCACAATATTCTACAATAACAAATTTCATGATAATTTGTCTAGGGGTTGAGATATTTCATGTGTACAGATGACTGAACAGAAGCAGTGAGGAAATTATTAGGCATTTCATAGGGTTGGGCATGATGGTAGAAAGTAGCACAGATAATCCATGTACCAAGTAATCATTCATACTTGAAATTGTGAAGGAATGAGCCCCTGGCACTCATCTGACATGTGGTTGGATGGCCACAAGCATTGTATAAATATGACAAGAAAAAGGCCTCATTCCAGTTCATTGTAGGTGCACATGCATCCCATCAGAGTGCCTACTTAATCACTGTCCATCTGTAAACATGAAACAACTTGCAAATTACTGAATGGATTTTCATGAAATGTGAAATATTTATTGGAATAAAAATGTTTCAAACAAAAATTGTAGAGAAAGAACACATTTTATGTCTGTAATTTTTTGATTATAATATGGTTTTTGTGATAATTAAGAATTATGAGTGAATGACTGACCCAGAATTCTTACACTCTGCATATGTTTCAAAACCTGTATATTCACTAATCAGCAGTGGTCTTCTGAACACAATTGAAGGTCACCAAAGTCTTCCAAACACCATTAAGTCCCTTATGCTCAATAATTAAATGAAGCTTCCACATTATTTATAGGTCTGCACTACAAATGACGATCATGCTGCTACAACCATTACTTTCTTACAATTTAGCTTCCTTTCCTTTCTTTTTAGTGCATTTATAATAAACAGCTGCAAAAATGTACCTATTAGCTTTACATGTCTGTCTCTCTGTGTGTAACAACTTCAGAACTGGAGAACAGATATTTATGAAAATCTGTTGGTAAATTCTTGTTCTGCTTAAAATCAGATAAAAATAATGGATGCTTTACATGAAGCATAACTCACTATTTATCAGAATGAAACAAGTTTCAAAGGAAAGCCACAAAAATGAATGTGACACAATTTATGCCCACTACACTTTACCTGGAAGTCTTGTAGTTTCTGAAAAATTAAACTGAAGTGAGGAACCTCATCAGAACTGTTATACTGTGGATACATTTCCTGTCTTGCAGGATTTCAGGTTCTCCCAGCAGTGACTAGGAAGAGTTGTATCTTCTGGGATGTAATGCTGCATAGTTCAGTGAAAGTCAACCAACATTTTGGAGGAACATACCATCTCAAGTCTTCAGGAATGAAGAATAAGCCATGTAAGAAAATAGGCATGAGGCAGGCAGCAAGGACTGGATGCAATACATCCTGAGAAACATTGACTTTCAGTGGACCACATGGGACTACATCCCAGAAGACAGAACTCTTCATTTCCTAACGTGTGTGTTTTATGAACTGTAAAGCATCCACCCTGTGTTCATTCATATCTGAAACTTTTAATTTAAGTTTGGGATTCTGTCAGTATATTTAAGCGAAGTTGGTTCTATGCATGAAAGAAGGTAGGATAACATTGTTTTAATCAATAATTATTGTAATTGCAATGATAGCATACCAAATTCAAAAACATTTATAAATATATTAATGAATAACTGAATACAATACTTTTTACAGTCTTCACAAACATTCGAATGCTGTAGTCTTATAACATTTCTTCTTTCTCATTTACTGATACAAACAATATTATTTTATCCTTAAACAAAATCATCAGCATCCTCATCATAGCCAACTGCTTTTGGTGGAATACCAAACATTTCCATTAGCTGAATCATACTATGTTGGTAGCCTTGTAAGACAGAAGCTTGATGAAGTCGTCGAAGTGCTTCTTGGCAGCCTTCCTTCCATCTGGTTATTTCAGTGGCCAATTCATTCACATTATGCTGTAACAAATATTTATGAACATACTTTTATAAGGTTAAGTTTCAAAATTACTTTAAATTTAACATCTAGCCAAGTTCTGCTTAACTAACAGGGAAAATGAAATTTCTTGTGAAAATTAGAAAAAAAAATACAAATCAGAAATCCATACACTTGGCAAAATATGAAGGCAGATCTAAAACCCTTGAAAGGAGTGAGATAATTGCATTCACTTCTACAGCTGATACTCTCCTACTGTCCTTCACCTGTAATGAAATGACAATAATACTAAAGTAAGCTGCTTTTTAAGAATGGAATAAGTTCTTAACTGGTCCTCTAGCTTATTTACGTTTATCTCTTCCAGTAGTTCTGACTTCATTATATCATCTTCAAAAGGGTTTTCATACTGGTTTAACCATTCCAGCATTTTAATTTTTGCTGTTTGAAGATGCTGGACTCATTTAGTGACACAATTCCAGCATTCTGTCCATTACCACAACAGAGTTAATGAATGGGCAATTTCTCACATTTGAAACTGACTGATTTTATTTTGTGGTGATCCTCAGTGGTATAATAATGACCAGTAGATGTGGAATTAGTCGCAGACAAAACCAGACAAGTCGCATCACATTAACAAAATATGAATATAAATACATATACAACTGAGAATATGTAACTGACAAGCCTCCAAACAGCTACATTTCTGAAATGTTCATAATGGTTAAAAATTGTTACTGGGTATAAATTACATTTATATGTATTGTTACAGCAATTGACATAAATCTAGAAACAAATGAAAAGATGCAAAAATCTTAAAAAGCTTTGCACCAGACACAAAAGTAGAGAGAATGGGATTGTAAATCATTATCTATTACCTTCTTTTTGTACAACAAAATTAGTTTCAGTCGTTTTATTTCTTCCTCTTTTGCTGTGATTTGTTGCTTCAGAATGTTTAAATTTTCTTCAGTGCATTCTATCATATTTTCAGAATTGACCATTTTGTCTTCATTATTTGAATTACTCTGGAAATCTAAATTACTAGAGGATGGTGTATCAGCATAAAACTGCTGAGTGTTATCATCCATGTTTTCTATCTGGGATTTCTCAGTAAGACATTCATCATTTCCACTCTCAGAAATGATCACATTATGTGCATCATTTGAGCTGCTGCTCTGGAGGTCCAAATCTTTACAGCAAGGTTTTTCTACACTGCACTGCTGAGTTTTATCGTCCAGGCTTTCCAGCTTCGTTTTCCTCATGACCTTTTCTTTGTCACTATTTCCAGAACTGATCATGCTATACGAATCACTTCTGTTTTTTGTGTCTGAATCCTTAAAAACTCCTATGTCGCTTTGCTGACCTTTGTTATTATTAAAGTTTTCTGTGTGGTTTTTGTTCCTTTCTTCACATTTACCTTGAATGGATTCTTCCGTCCCTTCATACCTGGACTGCTTGGCCTTTTCTGTCACGTTCTCCAGATTTAGCCTTTTCCCCGAAGACCTCGATGTTTCCTTCTCATGAGGCACGTGTTTGTCCAGTTTTCTAAGTTTCCTGGAGCTACCAATTGGGCCAACAAATCTTAAAGTAATAGGACTTGCTGATGATGTAGTGTCACTACAGGTTGGTGATATAGCATTTCTAATAGATCTTCTTCGAAGTCCGACCTGCCTGCACGGGGTTAATAATCCTGTGGAATGTTGTGTTGTACAAGAACTAGTATTTAACACTCTGGGGCTACTCAAAGAAAAGGGGGTATATGCCTGGGGTAATGGCGATTTCACTGCTTTGTCGAGTGTAGTTGTCGAATCCAGTTCCTGTTTCGTATAATTTATTGATAAATTCAAACTTGTTTGTTGCGACATAATGTTTATCGCCCTGTACAGTCTGAATACATACCACAACTTACATTTGATGGGCAACAGTCATTCTGTCCTATTTGCTTTCCCCCATTCGTAACTCGCCAATTATCGCGCCCAGAGATTATTAACCACGGGTCGCTATGTTAATACATGTAACAAGCCTACAGATTCACAGGAGACGCGAATGACTCGCGTTAAGAGCGAATAGACAAAAGAGCGCGTAGACTTACGTCCGTTAGGCCTTCCATCTGTGGACGATGAGCGTACGGTTAAGAGTTAATTCGATGAAACACATTTGCCTACTTAATTTATTTATCGTGTGTTTAATTGGTTGCAGAACACTGAGTGGAAGATGATGATGTTAATTTAATCGTTTTTAAATAGAGCAGGTTATATGTTAGATGAGTTACAGAGTGCGTCGGCTATGTGGTTGGTAACGTTGGCGACGCTGAATATATGTTTGAAGGCGGGATGAATTGTTATTTATGTAGGTTATTTTAATATTTGGTGAATATACAAAACCGTGTAAGTAGCTAGCTAGTTTGAAATTTTCAGATAATGTATTACTTTCTACATCATTACGCTTATTATAAACACCGTTCCTTGATTGTCATATTTTGCGAACTAAATACCTGAAAAGTTATTAGACGTCAATGATGAAGATTCATCGCCGTGTTTGTGCAGTGTTTTAATTTCTAACAAGTGGAGGTTTATTCAAAGAAGAACTCATTTATTCTATATGTGAATGTTGTACATCATTCCAGTGGCCGTTAAACTTTTAACTTACTACTATATCACACAAACCCCTAAGCGTGGATTTGTTACTATTGTCTGCCTTAATATCACCATTGTTGGTAGAAATTTTCCTCTGATCAGTTCACTTTCAGTACTGTGTCTGTCGAATAGAAGTTCTCTCATATATTCTCCTGTTTTTCTTTTCTCTGAACTGCTGCTCTGATACAGCTCAGTGGATGGCAGCAGTAGGCTATACCTAGGTTCTCCAGTAGTAGGCAGTCCTTCACCATTACATATAGCAAGACACAGTGGCATCTGTTTCAAGACTTAAAGATTATTTCTGTATAGATGGCCTTCACATTTCCCAACCTAATAAAGACTTTAGGCTTTGGTGGGACCGTATCGGCTTGACCTATAGGTCAGTACTGGGGCTATTTTCAGTGAAATTTTATTACCGTTATTAAGTAAGGTGAATAAAATGTTTCACTAAAAAGTTCCATGAATTGGGAGTGATGGGTTTTTGCTATGAAACATTGCATACATGTTTACGGTACAGTTGCGTAAATTTTTAATGGTTTGAATGATATTTAAATGAAACAACATATAGTCCGGTTTATGTTTTTCTTCTTGTTTTATCTAATAACAATAATAACACTCAAATTCAGTTGTTATTCTAAAGTTGTTCCATTTCATTGGCATCTTTGGAAGTGTTCAGACAAAATAAAATTAAATAAGTCTGTATATGTAGTTTTTGTGGCATGCATGTGTATCCTCTAGTTATGTGTAGCATCCCCATAAATTATATTTTTTTATATATATTTCATTTTGATTTTATTAGGTATTTTCAGTTCATTGTTCAAGAAGTTAGTTCTGTCAAGATGAACCATCACACACTTTCCCATAGAGAGTCAGTAGTCCTTGAATCGTCACCACTGCGCAGGAAATCCGTGTTAAACCTGTCCAACAGTGATGCAAGTCTTAGACAGGTAAGGGGTAAAATAAATATGTTTAGTAAGTAACCTGTGTCTGTATGTTGCAATTTGAGATAACTTTTATATGTGAAAACTTTCCACTTCCAGAAGTTATTTGGTAGCTTTGTAATATGTTTTGTTGGTGTTGTTATTGTTACTAATACATGAACTTTATGTAGGTGGACTCTCACTACTATAAATTTTGAATGAGATCTACTTTTTATTTTTGGTAGAAGATTTTTGTTCCTCCTCTTTCTTCAGGATTGAAGAGTGTGCTAAGTAAGCAGCAAGCATTGAGTATAGCAATCCTCCCCACCAACCTCTGCCAGAA